ATTCCCCCCCCCCGAGGGAAGCCAGTGCGTGCCTCCTCTGGGCCTGACTCCCTTCCCCCTCCCCCCACTCCGCGGCACAGGGAAACCCCGTGTGTGCCTGCCCTGGGGCTGATTTTCCCCCCTCTTATCCCAGCGGCGCAGGGAAACTCCATGCGTGCCTGCCCCAGGCCAACTCACCCTTCCAGTGCCGGTGCAGAGAAGTCACCGAGCTCCTCCTCCGGGGCCGACACCCCCTCCCGTAGTGCACCCGGCAGAGCAGCCAATGCACTTCCGCAATCCCCAGAAGTGGCGTTAAACTGCGGGACTTCCGTCCACCCGCGGGAAGCCAGTGCTACCTCCATTTTCACTGGAGGTACGTAGTGGGGCTTCTCGGGGTGGAGGGAAAATGGGGGGGCACAGACGCCTAGCGATTGACTGGTCGAGGCCTCATGATCGACCAGTCGATCACGATCGATCTGTTGGTGACCATGGCTGTAGAAGGTGATAAGAGAGGGTGTGGGGCCCCTACTGAATGAAGGAGGTAACCTAGTGACAGATGATGTGGGGAAAGCTGAAGTACTCAATGCTTTCTTTGCCTCTGTCTTCACGGACAAGGTCAGCTCCCAGACTAATGTGCTAAGTGATGCAAGATGGGATGAAGATGGACAGCCCTTGGTGGGGAAAGAACAGGTTAGGAACTATTTAGAAAAGCTAAACGTACACAAATCCATGGGTCTGGACTTAATGCATCCGAGGGTACTGAGGGAGTTGGCAAATGTCACTGAGGAGCCTTTGGCCATTATCTTTGAAAAGTTGTGGAGATCGGGAGAGATCCTGGATTCTTGGAAAAAGTCAAATGTAGTGCCCATCTTCAAACAAGGGAAGAAGGACGATCCAGGGAACTATAGGCCAGTCAATCTTACCTTGGTTACTGGAAAAATCATGGAAGGGATCCTTAAGGAATCCATTTTGAGGCACTTGGAAGAGGGGAAAGTGATCAAGAATAGTCAGCATGGATTCACAAAGGGCAAGTTGTGCCTGACCAATCTGATTAGCTTCTATGATGAGGTAACTGGCTCTGTAGACATGGGAAAGTCAGTGGATGTGATATACCTTGACTTTAGCAAGGCTTTTGATATGGTCTCCCACAATATTCTTGCCAGCAAGTTAAGGGAATGTGGATTGGATAAATGGATGGTAAGATGGATAGAAAGCTGGCTAGAAGGTCAGGCCCAGCAGGTAGTGATCAAGGGCTCGATGTCAGGATGGTGGTTGGTTTCTAGCAGAGTGCCCCAAGGTTCGGTTCTAAGACCGTTTTTGTTCAATATCTTTATTAATAATCTGTATGAGGGGACGGATTGCACCCTCAGCACGTTTGCAGATGACACTAAGCTAGGGGGAGAGGTAGATACACTCGAGGGCAGAGATAGTCCAGAGTGACTTAGACAAATTGGAGGATTGGGCCACAAGAAATTTGATGAGATTCAACAAGGACAAGTGCAGAGTCCTGCACTTGGGACGGAAGAATCCCAAGCATTGTTGCAGGCTGGGGACTGAATGGCTAAGTAGCAGTTCAACAGAAAAGGACCTGGGGATTACAGTGGATGAGAAGCTGGATATGAGACAACAGTGTGCCCTTGTAGCCAAGAAGGTTAATGGCATACTAGGTTGCATTAAGAGGAGCATTGCCAGCAGATCCAGAGATGTCATTATTCTCCTTTATTCAGCTCTGGTGAGGCCACCTCTGGAGTACTGTGTCCAGTTCTGGGCCCCCAATTACAGGAAGGATGTGGATGCATTGGCGAGGGTCCAGCGGAGGGCTACCAAAATGATTAGGGGGCTGGAGCATATGACATACGAGGAGAAGCTGAGGAAGTTGGATCTGTTTAGTCTGCAGAAGCAAAGAGTGAGGTTCCAAAGAGGATGGAGAAAGGCTGTTCTCAGTAGTGACGGATGGCAGAACAAGGAACAATGGTCTCAAGTTGCAGTGGGAGAGGTCTAGGTTGGATATTAGGAAAAACTATTTCACTAGGAGAGGGGTGAAGCACTGGAATGGGTTACCTAGGGAAGTAGTGGAGACTCCATCCCTAGAGATTTTTAAGTCTCAGCTTGACAAAGCCCTGACTGGGTTGATTTAGTTGAGATTGATCCTGCCTAGGGCAGGGGACTGGACTTGATGACCTTCTGAGGTCTCTTCCAGATCTATGGTTCTATGATTCAAAGAACCATTGTTACTGCACAAGGTGAGTAACTTCCTCTTCTTTGAGTAGTGTCCTTAGTGGTGCTCCACTGTACATGACTCCTGAGCTGTATCCCTAATGGGAAGCTGGGACTTAGAAGTTGTCTATTGGATTACAATAGTGTGGAGCTGAAGCAGGAAGTTGGAAACAAACTCCTCGGTAATTATATAATGCTCTGGGAAAGTATGCACAGACTCCAAGGCTCCTGCCATACAGGTTTAGGAAATGGGGACATTCTTGAGGAAGGCAAAGCTGAGGAAACCAATCTCATTGAAAGTGTGGATTCTGGATGGAGATAATATATTGCAAACCCCTGATAGCAGTGTTTGCTATTGTTCAAGACCGATTTGCAGAATGCGATGATATCATTGTACTATTCAACCTTTATATAGTGGAAAGGAAAATCTTAGGAGATTAAAAGGCCTTTGTTCTGTCCAGGTCAAAGGCCAAGGCTCTCCTAATGTCTAAGGTATGCAGTATAGCCTCCCTGTTGCTGCCATGAGGTTTAGGGTAATAAGTTGGGAGGTAAATCAATTCTGTGAAAAGGTGAGGTCACATTGGGGACTTCAGATGCAGTCTGTAATTAACCTTGACCCAAAAGAATACTGTATAAGAAGGGGGGTGCCATTAG